TATTCAACTTATGAAGAAACAAGAGCCCTCTTTGAAGACTCTAATAGTCTTTTTTTTTTTGGTAGGGCATTGTGTTATTCAATGTGTTAATAGAATGATGTCCTCAAAAATAGTGAGTTCTAAATTATTCTGTTACACAAATCCATCACTGTAGATTCCAAGAGAGTGACAGAATGAGCATTTTGCAGTGACATTTCTCATTCCCCTGAAAAAATACCAATGTAACACAACTTCTATTGTAATATTGGTCATAAAGTACTTCCTGTCACATCAAATAAAAAGGATTAAAACCCCTCAAGTGTGTACAAATACCAAACTACTCTCCTTTTTTCAATCAATCTTTAAAAAGTAATGATTGGCTCTATCCTGAGAAATAACTTTTGGTTTCCTTCTGTAGGAAGGCTGTGAAAATAAATTGTATATGTTTCACAGATATTTAATATTCATAAAATACCACCACAATCAAGGAATACTGCTTCTCCAATATCTTAAAATACAGATAGGATTACTTACAATAAATATCTTGTAATGGAATTAAGGAAAAACCACCCAAAAGTTGTGTGCCCATCAATTAAGATACATAGCATATGAATTGGTCTGGTATGAATATCAGAAAGCATAGAAAAATTAAACTGAAATTTATAAGCATTCCTCCTCACATATAAACCAAATATATGATTTATCTTACTCAGTTTTTTCCTTAAGTCCATGTTATTTTAGAATATCCAAATATGACATTTATATCCAAATATATGACATTTATCATATTTAGCTTTTTTCCTTAAGTCTATGTTATTCTAGAATATCCTAATAGCTACTATATTCATATCATTAAGCCAATTTAGAGGCTCAAATTATATACTTTTTTAGCTCCTCCTTTTTCTCCAGACAGTTAAGATTATAACTAATCCCAAGTTTCAATGCATAAGCAGAATGAAAGGGTAAAATCATATTGATGGAGAGTGAATCCAATTTTTGAATTTTAGGTGTTAATGATTTAAATTTCTGTACTTCAACCTAGAAGAAGCAAATCCTTTAAAGAAGTTCATCATCAATGAATATGGCCTCTATTGATATTTTCATCACATCTGCCAATAATGAAGACAAATTACTAATTTTCAGAAAAAAATCTTGCAATATGATAAAGAGAAAGGATATGAAATCACTTCTCTGCACTTACTCACCGGTGGTCCAAGGAAGGATCAACTTCTTGTGTTGGACTCTGAAGCCTAAATTCAAGGAAGGAAATCCTACAGCAAATTGGGTTCCAGGTTTCTGGCTCACAAACAACAAAGCTCTAAACTCACTAAGCAGGAGAACTTTACCCTCAACATATCCTCTGAAAACTATCTGCTTTTTTAATACCTGCTGTCAATTTAGTTCAAAGAATTGACAATGGCATGAATTCATACCTTCAGTTGTTAGATTTTAAAACTTAATGTGCTATTTTAAATCCTCTTGTGCCAATTTCATTTATCTTGGGCAAGAGGGTTTTTTTATTAACTCAAAGTAAGAACAAGGATTTACTAGAGAAAAAACGATCCAGTTTTATCATCTGAATTATTAGCCTTAATAAGTGTGTTCCATTCAACTATTTCAAACTATGTCACCTAGTTTTGAAAATACAATTATATTCCTTTTTCTGTGTATATATTCCAGGCATTTAATGACATTTTCACCTAAATACTGTTTAAAACAGTTTAGCCAGTGTTCTTTATGTAAGTAATAGATTTGATACTTAGTTTTTAACAAGTAGAGTTATGATGACCAAATTAGGCAAATATTTTTTTCATTCTTTAAAAAAAAAAAAAAGTTGCAGAATAGCTTAACAGTACCATATACATAAAGATGACTCATCTAGCAATAAAATCAGAACAGAAAGGAATGCTACCATGTGGGGATATGTGCCATTTAAACATGGCTGCACTATTGACAACTTCAGCCCCTCAAAGGCCCATATGCT